CTCCCCCCGCCCCCTTCACTCATTTCCACTCTCTCAACTTTTAATTCACTCAGTTTCCAGTTTTAAGAAGGAAGACCAAGTGACTTCATGGAGATATGCAACACGGCTGCTTTTTAAATCCCTCTGCCTCCTGACCAGCCTACTTTTTAAAACCTGCTTGGTGACTGTGAAAGACACTACTCATGGCTGCACTATGCCAAACGTGTAGCTTTGAGCTCCTAAAGCCCCAGCATTCCTCAGATGAAGAAACAAGTTTTGTGTTTGCTTGTTCTGTTTCAAACGTGTGGCACAATTTCCCTTTGCCTGGGAAGGAATGTTCTGCATTCTTTAGGCAGGGAAGAAATCCAGTCATGTTGGCTCCAAGGACGCCTTTCACTGCTTCTTAAAACATTAACACGGGGGGGGGATGCATGCTAGGGGACAGCGTGCATCTTCCAAGTCTCTCATGCCTTTCAAACTAAGCAGTAACTGGAGTAAATTAGTGCAAGAAGCTCCTTACGAAAAAGGATTTTACAAGGAACAAGCTGGAATAAGGAACAGACAGCAACAGAAATCTACAGGTTCTGGATATCCTAATCCCACCCAAGAATAACTGCATTCCCTGACAAAGGTCCTGGAAACTTGTTCTTCACTTGCAGGCTGAATTCAGCATAGAAAGAACAGTGGTAAATGTCTGAGCTGCGAAGTCCACACACCAAGCATGTCCTGGAGAACCTGGGTTTCCATTCCACTTCATACAAACATGCCTCCATCTCCCCAGGCCCAGGTCTGCTCTGCCTTCTGGCAACAGAGCACTTCTCAGACACAGAACAAATCAATACATTCTATTTTAAAGTTTTAAGTTTGGTGCCAATTTAATTTGATTGAAATTACCTTACAGGGCAAATTATATGAGTAACTGGCATTGCATCATACAGCAATAGCAGCAATGTAAGCATGAGCAACCAGAGTATGGGATTTAAAAATAAAAAGGATTTCTTGCAGAAAGCTCTGCAGAGCCATTTCTGGAACTACATGCCAAGCCATGTGACCATAAAGCCGTTTCATTTTCTTTTTATCAGTAGTGAGAGAGCCTGTGAGTGGAATTGTGTGTTACCTCACATCTTCTGGTGATTCCATACCTATTGACCCCCAGAAATCAGGGCTAAACAGGACGGAAAAGAGGCCAAAACATTTGGAGAAAGTTATTACCGATAACCAGCCCTTTTCTCCTTCCAAAATTAATTTGTCTCTTCTAAAGGAGAGCTAATATGCTAGTAAAGTCTTCTGTTTCATTTATTACCCAACAGCTTAAGCCTACCCATCTGCACTGTTTCTAAGGCAAAGCAGCCTCCATCCAAAAAACTATTTTGCCCTGAAGACTTGAAAGGCACCAGCATCACACAAAAGCTTATTAGCTCCATATTTTACATTCCTGTATGAATGGGACAAAAGAAATCACTTTTGAGAGTCTTAGCTATTCCTTTTCCTCCTGAGAGTGCCTATTTTGTGCCAGATAATGGTCTTTGACACAGAGACCCTCATCCAGGGATGGAGAGAGGAGTCTGCTGTGCAGCAGGAAAAGTCCAAAAGCTCCCGAGTCAGTTGCTCAAAGTGATGTCAGAAGTTTCCAAGATGTGCCCCTACAACAGAAAGGTCATCACTCACCCAGTTCCTGCTGGACCCCTCCTCATCCTGCCCTTTTTTATCTTCTTGCAAAGAGCAATCTTTGCAGAAAGAGTCTGAGCATTCAGCTAGAATGGATGGTTATACGCACGCTGGCTAGCCACCAGTCTTCAGAGAAGCCAAACCTCCAGTGACCACCTTGCTTCAAGGAAGCCAGGCTGTTCTTGGTTTCAACTTCCTTACAACAGGTCCCAATACTGGAATTTTGAATCAAGGTAATTCAAGTCAAGAAAAAACACTGATAAGAAAGCCAAATCCATTTTTAGATTAGGCATTCATCACTAGCCAAAAAAGTAATGCTAAGTCCATCAAATTTTAAACAAATTCATTTCAGCTTCTAAAAGCCCTCTTGATTTTAAAAGACCTATTTAATAATTGCTCATAAAGAATTTTCTAACATGATGCAGAAAGGCCAAAATGTCTTGTGCAGGGGCTTCCAACAGATATGAACAGATTCAGAATTGGAGGGGACAGAAAGTTTACATAATTGCTTGAAGCATGCTGGCCCATGTTTCCTTTTCTTGACAGCTGCTGCATAGGATGTTTCTGCAGCCACATGACCAAGTGTACCATTCTTGAAACAGGATGCCACAGGCAGCACCAAGGAGAATCAATTTATATTACAAATTTTAGATTGATTCATTCCATTAACAGTTCTCTTTTTCTACATGTTTCAACCTCTGAGTTAATAAAGGGAGTAAAGTGGGAAAAACAAGTTCAGATGTTTTCTTCTTTTGCTCCTGTGTCTGATGAAATCCAATGTCAGCTGCTTCCAATTCTAGAAGAACAGACCAGGACTACTCAGGTAGGAAGCCTACAAGCAGCCCCCGCTCAAAAATAATGCGGATTTCAAGAGCTAGTGGATTTGCTCATACTTCAAGCTAGACTAGCAATGATTGCATTAACACGATGATAACAATGCTTTCAGGTGCCAATTACACATTAACACATAATTACAGGTTTACAGAGACATATCCTTATCTAAAATAAGAAGCAGGCTTCAGCATTCAGTCTTAACTAAGCAGTTTTCCTTGCATCTTTCTTCTCCCTACCTTCCTAAGCTACTATACACAACCAATAAACTGGAGAGCAGATATGCTCAAAATGTGTCACTGCTCTGAACGTAGCAATCGATGATTCCTGTTAAGTGTTTTCAGGACTGGATTGACAGTCCCAGCGTGGAAGATGTTCTTCAAATTAAAGTGCTGGCATCAAGGTAGGCATTTTCCTGCATTTTGAAGTGTCAGGAATAATTGGTTTAGAGGATTAGCAGTAAAAATCCTGCTTCAGATATCAAAACAGGAACTTCTCCCAGGAAACAGCCTTCATCCTCACCAGCAGGAGTGAGGATGCGTTCAGCACTGTTTTCCTGTAGTAAGGAGACAAACTCAAAAAAGTTGACTCTGAATGGGGGGTAGAGGGGAAAAGGGTTGAAAATCAGGGTGTGGAGAGGGCCTAAAGACAAACTTGACTGCTCATCAATGTATACTTCAGTGGTCACCCCTCCCAAGACTATTTCAATGAATGCAAATCAGAGGACACAGAGAAGGGCTACGAATACACACAGGAGCAGAACAACGACACGTCTAGTGCCTTGCTGAGGAAAGGCAAAGACTGAAGAAAGGAGCATAAAGGAGGACCCAATGCCTAATGCACAAAAGAGCGACGTTTCCAAGCACAGCTAGGGTTTAATCCAGTGCTGCTCCAGCCGGCCAGAGGGTTTTATGCTCTGTTAAAAAACCCACCTTTCAATGCATATAAAGCCACAACCACGACATTGGCACTCCTGACTCCCAGTGTACTAGTCATATTGATAGCCTTCCTAACCTCTAGGGATTTTACTGAGAAATGCTCAGTAGTTAACTTCAAGGTGAACAAGCAGAGGTTATTCTGTGCCAGCCGCCCCTTTGGGAACCTCTGCTTTCATGTACTACATCTCAGCTGATGAGCACAGAGCAGAGCGCGCCATTTTCTACTCCACAGGGTGGTGCACAAACAGACTGTCATCTTATTCTTCCTACTAAAGGGAAAGATCTAAAGGCACATAAGCCTCCTGCACACCGAGACGGTTAGGAACCAGGTTCTGAGTTAAATCAAGGGACTTGGCTGGGCAGCTGCTATTACAGAACAAGTTGCTGAAGCACAGGACTCCACTCACCTTTCCTTCCCGAATTACCCTGGCTTGATGGTTTATCAGTTACAGAACCTAAAGGGGAGGAAAAAGAAAGAAGAGACATCTATTTAGATGCTGCATGATCACACAGAACATGTAATGTCACATTAATACAGTCAATATCTCAACCCACAAAGTGGCTGTTTTACTTGCCAACAGCTCAGTTTAGGATTCATCAGAAAGCCTGTGGCTTCAACCAACTGGGATAGCATAAGGAAGTTTTATGCATGAAGATATTAAATCAGGGTGAGGGTAAACAAGAAATCTTTAGTAGCTGGGTCCAGTGATTTGAAAGAGCTCAGAGCAGTGTGCTAGTAAGAAACCTGGAATAAATCCAAGGGCAAGAGGGAAAGATCAATAAGAGTCACTTCTTTCATTTGCAAATGTCAGGAAGAACAAATCAAAAACAGGTGGGGAGAGTGTGCAGGGAATGGAAGGGGCAGTATTCTAAAGGAAAGGGATTAAGTGGGACAATTTGCAGAAAATGGATTTCAACCAACCCCTGAACATCTCCAGCTGTTTGAAAAGGGACACTGAATAAGATAGAGCATGTACTTGAATAGAACACAACTTGGGTTTTTTAATATAACTTAAGTCTTCACATAATATATATGATTCTACACTTGTTTCTGCAGTTTGCTTTAGTGCTTCATCACCCAGTTTTCCACTGAAACTTGAACTGATAATAAAAGCATTTTGAACAAATTTATTACCAAAGCATATAAAATTATGACAAGTTGGGTTTGTTTTTTGTTTGGGTTTTTTTTTTTTTAATAGCTTTATTCCCAGGAAACTGATTCTTCTGTGCACCATTACTAAACAGTTCCAGTGATTACTGATCCTTCAGGAAACACGGATCAAAAGTCAGCTGCAAAGCAGGCAGCTCTGACAGGCCCAAGAGTCTGGTCAAGACAAACTCTAAATGTAAACTCTATTGCCCAGGCATTTTCACTTGCAGACCAGTTCATCACAGATCTGCTACTGAATTACAAGTAGGAAGCACATACGCAATGTTAGTCATCATAGGCCTAACATCTGTGTGTCCTACAATACACCATGAATTTACTTTCCTGGTAACACAATTTTATAAACAGCTCAAGATTAAATGAACAGATCAGCAAAACTCTAAAACATGCCCTACCATAACCATATACTGGGAATGGTGGAAGTCATATTCTAAGGTTTAAGCCAAATTACTGTAGCATTTCACCTTACACAAAAAAGGGATATTAATCTTATTTTCTTTCCATGTACCTGTGAAACGCCAAGCATCCCCTCAAGCTACATTGACTCACTTGTTCCCAGACAGTTCTCCCACTCAACTCAAACCCTCATGCAAGTCACTATGTTTGCTTATTACCACAAAACACCCTACAGCCAAGAGGACACTGAATAAAGTGAGAAGGATTAAAAAACCCAAAAGTTTGACTGCTGTCGTGTTTGCATCCAAAGGGCAAACACTGCAGGGCCACTGAAAATCTAGAGCCCAACCTCATCCCATTTGAGCTGTGGGCTGCCATATTGAATGGTGGGGAGGAAAAAACAAACATCACCACTCTGTTTTAAGTACAGAAAATGATGGATTTGGACCATCATTTTACCACCAGTAAAACATAGGGCAACAGAGCAGTGTCAGGCTGAGAGCCCAGAAGCACGTTGCTTAATAAACCCACGAGTAACAGCCTGGCTCTGGACCTCCCTCTTGTGAGCTTGGTGCAAGCCCAGTGCTGTCCAGCCCCGTGACACAAACATGGGGATCCTGGAAATGAGCAACATGATCAGAAGACCCAAATCCATTACAGCAGCAGGACCCCAGATTTGGGGGCTAGTAGTCAACAACTACCAGTTTCTCACAGAACCACCTTATCAAACTTTGAACTGAAGTCACTCTGCAGGCAAAATGACTCCATGGCCCACTCAATACAGCTAGAGAACCACTTCTTTAAAATACAGGTCATGAAAAAAAAAAGTTATCCTATCTGTTACAGGAACCTCTGGGTTTGGTGTACACAGCAACACTGCGACTCTTGCCCTGGCTACCACAAGCTGTTACCTTAGCTGTTTTTCTCAGTGAGCCTTGCAAGAGTGTCTGTGCCCTAACTGCAGGGTGGACGTGCCACAGCCCGAGCTCCCTTGAAGCTTCCAAATACCAGCAAGCACACAGGGAGACACAAGCACAACTGCAGTACTAAATCGGGTAAACTGGCCAAGTCACCTGAAAAGATTAAGCACTCTGAACAGGATGCGTTCTCCCCAACCCCCTTCAGTTATCAGATTAGTATTTGTTGAAGCCACTCCCACAGTACCTGAACATACAGGAGTTTTGTTCTGTACAGAAGAGCCGCTAATAGGCTTGCCATCAGGTGTCACACACCAGCAGTATCCAGTGTAGGTATGGCACTGCACCTGTTTGATAAAACAAAGAGCAGGCATTTCATTTCTCACTCTATCACCCACCACTTTCATTATAATCCAGCATCTTAGTAGAAGTCTCAACCCAGACGCATGAAACACATGCTTCAGAGTGAGGAGGTCACACAGAAGAGTATCTTTGATATCGTTATCTTTTCTTTCTCCCCTCACCTCCGTCCCCAAAGAAAGGTTATTTCTGCTACTGCAACTCCTTTAGCTGCAATTCAGGAGGCAAAAGAAGTTACAAGTAGTCAGCTGAGAACACTTCAGTTTGGGGATGCAGCAGTTGTGTCTCAGCTCATTCCACCTTCTGCTAAATCCCATTTACTATTTATCATTAAATAGTTGTCCCACTGCATCCCAGCTGGTATGAGGAAAGGCCATCCTGGCCCAGTTCCACAGCCACTGCTTGAGAGCAGCGTTCTGTGGGCATTTCAAGAGCATTTTGTTCAGTAAACATGGCTGGAGAAATGCAACACTGACTTGTTAACAAACCCTCTCCAGATAGGTTTAAGCTCTCTCCTGTTACTATGTCAACCTAGGCAGTAGGAGCAAGATCCAACATGCTTGCTCTTCATGTATTGACAAGGACTTAAGAACATTTGATGAAGGCTCTAATGAGCCAAAAGGTACACAGCACAAGATTCATCTTGCTAACTTTAAAGCTCTACATCTGAACTGAACATCTAGAGTTGCCCAGTTCCACCCTTCACCACAGAAGGACACCAGAATAACTAGGTCAGATGTGGATCTCTAAAGTGAGAATAGATAAATCCTGATCTAGCAGACTGGTCTTAGTAACATCTACGCAGATATTAGTTCAGCGGCACTATAGTTTCACCCAGCTTAATAAATCTAATTACAGCCTTCGCCTCATCTTTCAGAGAGTGATCAAGCATTTGGATGAAATTCAGGATGCCTTTTGACTTCCCTTGAGACAAGTAAATGATCATTATACAGGCATCTGTGTAAATACTAACAGTTTCCAAAATTCTTTCTAGGATTCTAGCCACACTTTCACTTGTGGTTGAGTGTGCACGTCAATACTTCCAGCACCTTGAAATGGTACAGAAATGTCTACATTACTATAAGCTAGAGATGGCTGCTTCAATACATTTCTGAAAAAAGCCATGAAATGAGGTCACTTCAGAAACTTCCTTTTTATTTTACTTTAAATTTAATTCTGTCCATTCTCTTTTTTTCCAAGCACGTTCATTGAAGCTGATTTCCCATTCCAGTCCTCTCCACACAGAAGAGTGATGGGGTGTTTGTGCCATTCCCTTCATTAGGGATCCTCCAGAGCTAGAACAGTCATTCCCCCTTGCTGACAGCTGGCTCCGATTCCCTAAGGTAGCAGAGTTTGTTCAGAGACTTAATGACAGGCTTTTTAAAAGGCTTTGAGTATCACATAAAACATGAACTAAGAGCAATTATAACACGGTACCACATGTTTATCTTGGGTTTTACTAAAGTGCAAAGCAACCATTTTGCCTCAAGCAAATTCACTTTTAGCAGCCAAAATCAACAATAATCTCATGTACCCATGTTACTAAAGTCACTGTCACTGCTATCTGCACACTTGCATTTTTATTCTCTCAATATATCACAGAATTGATTGCAAATTACTCAAAAGCACTGTGAATATAATTAACAATCATAAAGTTGCAAAATATTTCTTATTGCTCAATCTAATCAATTGCACATTCAAAACAAGTGTGATGGAACTGCTTGGGTTTCTGTGTTTAGTGTTTATCTTTGCTGATCACACACACATTATTGCATTCCCAACAGCACAAGAAGCTGTCTTCACATCTGAGCATTAATTGTAAAAATCTTACCCAGAGATGAAGCTAAATTCCAGGATAGGATCTTGAATTCATAGGGCAAGACCATTCCATGTTACATTACAGAAAAAAATCCAGCGTACCCAGCATTTAAAAAATTGAAGTGTTAGTGACTTGATAGTCCTTCAGCCAAGCCTTCAGAAAATAACAAAGTACATGGCAGAGGAGTCCAAAACATGTATTGACATAAATTTAGGATAGACGCATTAACTAAGAGCATGTTATGCAACTCATCTCAAAGGAGAGCTACCAATTACATACACTCATTTATGCAAGCTAAGCACATTACATCCATAAAAGCAAAGTAATTTTGTAAATAACTAAGCTAATGAATGATGGCCTTCCTTGGACTGGTATCCCATGACCCCTTCTTCCCCTGCTGTCATTAAAAGAAATAAGTCTCAGATTGACAGCACTCTCAACCACATGTTCTACTGCAGCACCAAAGGACTTCCCTACTACAGATAATAGCAGCAATGAAATCATAGCCCTTATCCTAAAGGCCAGACAACTCCCCATGAAGAATGGACACTTCAGAAACCTCAAAAGTCACTGCAGTTGGCTTTCCTGAACATCTTCATGTCGAGAGATCCTACCTCCCACCGTGATACCTGACCAGGTCTCAGCATATTTAGGTGTCATAACAATAGTGGCCTACAGCCTACAGTTTGCAGCTTAAAGGCTGGGGAAAAAAAAAAACTGGTATACTTTCCATCAAGTTACATAGCACTGGTATGGCATTGAAAAAAATGTAAAGGCAATAGCTGATCCAGTACCATTTCTAAACACTGTGTGTAAACACAAACTCTGTAGGAGTCAACTATCCCAGAGCACCTATAGTAAAGGACCTTGAGAATTCGGGTTTTTACTTCAAATTTTTCCAATGAGTTTCCAATGATCTTAGGTTTGAGTTTGTTTCTAAATCCCATTTAAATTTTCTACCTGAAATTCAACCTCATTCTAATCCTACTCCCATAGTAGCAAGATTTTTAAATACTGTTATAATCAGAAGAGTAACTGTGCGAAAGTGACACCCGTTTACTGCACAGATCTAATCTTCAGTTATTGAGTTAATTCGGGCTCTTCCAAAATACATGTTAGAAAAAGTACGTTTGACTTTTTTTGGCTCTCAGTCTTCTAAAGCTAAGCTCTGTGTCAGAGAAAATACATTATCAATTTTATATACAAAATAAACTTGACTGCTAACCAAGCTGCAGCTACAGAATACTCATTACTGGTGGAAAGGCACACAGAGTTTGACATCTCAAATTAACATACACCTGTCCAACAGCTGAGCATTTTAAGTTACATAGTAGGGAAATAGATAAATAAAACCTGCAAATCATTTGAGGTCTTCCAACAGATTCCCCACCAACATCTACACTTTCCCCCCCCCCAAAAAAAAAAAAAAAAAAAAATCAAACTGCAGTTTAAAGCCCTGCAAGCACTTGAATCCCTGATCTTGCAGGACACTGTTCCTATTTTTCAGGGGTGAGATATGCCATCTCAACTGTGCCTCAATTGAAGGATGAAAAGCACGAGGGACAAACCCAACAAAAATTGCTCTGCCACCACTGCCCAAATTAAGAGTGTAGCAGCAGCTCCTCTATTCTCCCCTGCCATTACGATGTGTGAAATCAAACAGCAGCTAACATACTAGCCATCCGCCACATGAATAAACACCTGCTCTCATCAAGTTCATTACAATATGAAAACATTAAAATTACAGTCACTGGCAGACTCCTCTGCCTCTTAATTTCCTGAGGGAAAAAGAAGCCGCTGTTTGGGTTTCTGCAGTATCTCACTAGCAATGCCAGAATCAGATTCCCAAGCAGTCCAAAGCTTCTCAACAAGCAAGCAGCAGCATCTCTTTACAGCCATTTGACAAAGGAGGATCAAGGGGTTATTTCCAAAACATAAACTGTAAATGGGAGAGAAATTGTATGCACATGTATGAGGGAGAGAACAGGGGCAAAGCAGTAATGCTGTGACGGCTGAAACCAGTCACTACGGAGTTATAGAAAGCAGAAGTTTGCTTTAAGAGGCTTGAGAGCACCTTGGACAAGCACTGGGCCGAGCACAGGAACAGCAACACTTAGACTAGCCTTTCACTGCTGTTCAGACGAAGAGTTTGGTAACCGATTCCTATCCCATCACAGGTAAGACAAATATTTCCTGTCTCCTTCCATAATGGAGGGCAGAGAGGAGAAGGGAAGAAAAACATTCCTTCTGCATTCAAAGCAATACTTCTATGAGAGAAGAAAAAAAACACATCCAGTTTTTGAACGGCTCTGCTGAGGGTGAGGGCAGGCAGCAGAGCTACTGCCTGCACTCACAGCATGAGGCAAGACTCCAAACCCTGGCTGCACCCAGGTGCTCCTTGTAAACACTGTAAAAAGAGCTAAATAAATTGTTCCAAGCCAGTAAGTCATCTGGTCTGGCCCAGAGCACAGAAGCCGCAGTGTCACACAGCAATTCTTTAATCAAGCCTTTCCTTTGGTTCAAGCTATTGAGGCTCATCTAGAAAGTCCTCTGAACCCACCTAAGTAGCACACAATCAACACACTGGCTTGATGGCTATTTATCCTAACTCTAAGTGGTGATGCCTCGGTTCTGGTTTAAGTGTCTTGTTGTACTGCTTAGACCCTGGATCTTGTCTTACCTTCTGCTAGATTAAGAGTCAGCTGACTATTGTCAGAAGCCTGCCTTGCCTTTACGGACAATTTTAGGGAGCTATGAATCAATCTGCATCTTAAGTTCAAGCTTCTTTGGGACTGCAACACCTTAAATCATTTTTATCACTTTTTCTGTTCCCTGCTCACATGTAATTCTTCCCAAATGATGTTGTGCAGACAAATATGCCCACCAGGGCTTTATGCAGCAGCCACCTCCCTCAAGTCTATGCACCATTCAAGAAATGCTTGCTCCACAGGAATTTCACTATTCGTATAACCAGGGAAAGAAGTGGTTTGTGGCAAAAGAATCTTAGCTATGGTCAAGGGCATTCCCAACACACACTCTGGCACAGATACCATTTTTAGCTTAGGAGAAGGATCCTCAAGAGAGGTTCTCTGCTTCTGACACAGAATGTGACCCTTTAAAGTTAAGAATGATCTTACATTGTCACTTCCCTTAAGGATGTCCACTCCT